CGGTCCGATCGGAACCATTTTCAACAGCGTTCATCTTTGGATCAAAGCATATCGACGTACCGAGTTCCATCGAAATATATTAAGAAATGCGGACTGTAAATAGAACACAAGAAAACAAGACAGACAGAAGGGCAGATAAGCTTAACTTGATGTAACATAAAGTGAGTCTATCACAAATCATTCTGAATGTTATATACTTCCACACTTACTTAACATATTGTTAAGAAATTCGCTTTTCTAAGATGCAGTCCGTATCACTGGACCGTGGATATTTTGTGCAAGAGAAATACACTTTAAAGTTCTTTCATTTACAATTACATTCCTTAAGTGTAGGATTGTTCGCAATTTATTTTTGGCAATACGTTCAACTGCTCAACTTAAATATTCTTTTTCCACAGACCCTCCCTTCCACAAATATTGTATTTATATACATTTTTATCATCATATTACTGGTAACTAATTTTTAGTTTCATTTTTAATTCGTTAGCCTGCTTTTCTGGTACTCGTTTTCCTCGGCCGGAAGCTGCATGACGCGCTGCGAATGTGCATTAGGTTTTGCCTCTTTAGGGATTTTATTACTTAGCTGGAATGAACAGGATTTGGGGTTTCCGTAACAATACCCTTTTACCGCAGGTAATGTAGAGTATAATCATCTCCACAAGGCTAACGTAGATGGGTTTATTAACTGATGTCATTTACGTAAGCGTTAACTAAGAATGAATGATGAAAATGATTATATCAAAATAACAGCTTTTCGGTATTTGATATTCCCGGAGCGATAGTCACAATAAATCTTTCCAATATCAAGTTTATTATGAGGCAAACAAGATTGTTTGCCGTTTGGCCTATGACGGCTTCGTGATGTTGCTCAGAATACGGTTGTTAATCTAAAATTATGATCTGTATTACTAACTAAAGAATAACTAAAATGTCGTTATATTCAATTCTTTTGATTTTCATTTTTAAATATGTTCTTGTATGCCGACTAAGAGCAAAAAGGTACTATTACGTAACCAAAAATAATTGATTGGAAGATAAATAGTTTGTTTCAAGCAAGCTAAAATAATTGTTCTTGTAGACAGAAGAATCAAATTGTGACAAATTGCGAGAAAGAAGGTACAGATGAATGTAAATAACATTTGTTGTCTGTCTAATGATAAGGAGGTCCACATAAATAAAACAAATTTTTTTTTTTTAAAGAATTACGAAGCGATCCATTAGTCATTTTCTGTAGAAGCTTTGACAGTTCAGAAATTCTTAGTTAACTTGAAATAAAAATGTCTCTAAATATTATGTACCAGCGAGCTTTAACAAAAATGTTTTTTTTAACAATTTTTTGCATGAAAAATGATAAGAGAACAATAATAATATCCAAGGAAATTATTAAATATATAAGTGTTTTAGCATTAAAAACAAAAGGTGTTTTTAAAAAGCGCTGCAAGGTGGAAAACACTAGAGATGTTCTGGGGCAAACAGCGTAATTTATTCAAATTTGATTCTACAAATACATACACATATCTGAAAAGTCGATTTTAAAGAAATGTTGGTTTTCGCGTGATTGTCGAGATTTGACAAAAGAATTTTATTGAAAAGCTAATATATCATGTTTGGAGTAACTTATTCATCACCTCCCCTCCGTCCATCATAGTTAATTAAAAAATGACATTTTAGGGAAATTATGAAAAAGTTTTTAAAAAAATTTCTTCTTTCAAGAAAAAGGCGCTTAAGACCTCACTTATCCGTATACTATATGAGGAGTCAAAGTTGTCCCTCGTTTTGATTTCACATGGCCTTCGTCTCCAAAGGTGGAGTGTTAGGTTAAGTTATTTGTAATATTGCGATTACCATAGGGGGAAACCAAATCAGAAAACAGCTGTCTTCTGCTTGGGATATGGTAAGATTCGCAAAAGGCAACCTTGTGCGAAGTACGAATCGTTTTCTTGTTTTCTTCTTTATCGGGTAGCGAACGGAGCATGATGCGTTTAAGTTTCGTACTATCTGGCGTGTAAACATTACTTCTCCAATAAAATTGCACGTGAATCCATCTTTAGAAACCCATAGCAGATTACATCAATCAGTAACCCAGTTAACCATCTAAGACAAAGTAAGCAACAGACCTCAGAAGGTGCGAGGGAAAACCACGAAATGTCCCGAGAAAAAATAAGTTTTCTTGTGAGGGAATACCTGGGACCCGATGAGCTAATCCCGTCACCAGGCAACCAGCAGCAAGCTACCACACAACTGGCATAGAATTATGTTAGAGAAATCCATTTTGTAAAGCATGTAAAATGTTTCAATACCAAAAATTATCTTTACACATTATATCGTTCCGGAGCATTTAAGTCAATAAAGAGAAGAATGAGAAAAACTTTACAGTACTTTTCTTCTTTACATTGCAAGCGTATACCATATTGTGCGATAAAAGCCAATAGAACACATACGCAGTGAGTTATCTGTGGTTGATCTGCTGCATTCTAGAAGAAGGAGAAGACTACCATATCACTATATCACTATTAGTCATATATACTAGCAAAGGTGATAAGCTTTTTAAAGGTCTTTCATAAGCAGTTTAAATATGGAGAACTTAAGATGATGAATTGGAATCGGTCTTGGATGGTAAATAAGGTACATACTTTTGCAAAGACCTTAAACCTTCTCTGCATAGTACAGTCTGCCATTCAAATCGCCAAAGTGAAGTAGTTTCAAGATACAGCGAAGGGGTGATAGCACATATTTTTTAAGTATTGTGTCCTTGCTAAAAAAAGGTTTATATCGAAGTACAAAAAGGTAATAAAATAAGTATTAATATTAAAAAATGGTAGGAAGCATACAAATATAACATAAACTGATAAATTAATTAAGATTACCAAACCAGAAAAAACCAACTTATTTATGTTATATGCCATGCGCGGTTACAGTAAAAACACTGAAACAATGCAATGGACAAATCGAGTTCAAACAGTTTTGAGAGGCATTGCGCAACTCCAGATTTTTGATGATATGTCGTAAAGAACGCTGAAATCTAACTTCATTAACATGCCCGGGTTTTTCCTGTAAGTTTTGGCGCCCCTTAAGACATGTCAAAAATGTGCAGTTGCTTAAAACTTCGCTTTGTTAAGTGTTTTATAACACGCTATGGTTATTCTAACCTCAGGCCAATTATACAGATACACAGCATGGTATACAATAACAATAAACTTTTTTTTTTAACTCTAAGCCTGGTTTACTTTTTTATTTATATATGTATTTTCTCATCCCTTGGTTATTCGCCCAAGATTGTGAAATTACCTTAGCAGAGGCATGAACCAAACTTGAAGATAGGCTATTTCTTGCCGAAGGCAAAAAGTAGACTACGCGCAGCTGACTAACGATCTAATGCTGATGATGATCTCTTTAATCATCGCCTTGGTTAATGTGCTCCTTCCCCGACCTTATTATAGCCAATGTAGAATTTCTATCTGCTACATCAAATTAACCAAATCTATCTGGAGTATTCGCGTTAAACCAAAAAGAGACTAAAATTGATTTCCATATGATTATAGTTCTTCATCATTGCTTTAGTATGCTGTCTCTGGCGTCGCCTGTTTATATACCGGGACCCTCAAGAAACTAGGGCGACTCTCTCATCGCGCCTTTCCACATACTATTTTACCCCTATGAAGTCATCTAGATCTAGTTAATATCGTAAGCATCAAAGATTCACCTTAAGACAAATTGAATGAATTGATTGCGTAAATGAAGCACCAATATTTTCACATGATGATTTTACTTTTATCTCTATAGAGAATAATTGATAAAAGTCATTAAATTGTTTCCATACAACGTGAAAGGAATGAAGTACTTCCTAGTTACTCGTACATTAAGACCAACGAGGTGGGGTTTGAATTTTGTAGCCTTTCAATTGCAAAATAGTAAATAGTCGCAGCCGTAGATTAAATGATCGGTCGAGCATCAGCGTTTAACATCTCCATAAAGAGAAGTATATTTCGACAATAAACAGTTCGCTTATACCGGTTTCTTTGTTTTTTTTTTTTTTTTTTTTTTGTCAAATAAAATTATGAAAATAAAAATTTTTTAAATCATATATAGATAAAAAGTGAATAAAATCGTTTTCTTTTAAATGAAGAAAATATTGATAGCGAGAGAATAAATAAGATAATGGCCGCGAAATGTGTGCGATTGCAATCTCCGGCAAAGAAAATAAATCTGGCTGCTGAAGAGCAAAAACCGAAAGCTGCACTGCAAAAGATGAAGCAAGCAGACACTACTCAAGAACATACAAGTGCAGCCTTAAGATGCATTAATAGAACGAAGGAAAATTTACGTCGTTTGGACGTCGAATTCGTTGACCAACAAGAAGAAGATCGAAATAAGGAAAACGAGGTGAAAGCGGTGCGAAATAAAGAACATATTAAAATATTTGGTATGCAATCGTATAAAGCAAAGGCCCCAAATGAAGTGAAAAATAAAAATATAGTTAAACCTGGATTAGTTTCACTTATAACTGTGTTGTTTGAAACTCAAGTCCCGAACATACAAACAGCCCGGAAAAATTATATCGATTTATCGGTACAAGAGAGAATAACCTTCTTTGAAAACACTAAGCGTGAAAATACTTCGTCTTCGTCTGGTATCACATCACTTCAGAGTTCATACCCTCTGCGCAGGAGCTCTGCTACATCAGTCCGTGCTTTGGTAGACGTCTTTAACAAAAAGAGAATTAAGGATGATATGCTCACTTACGTAGAGAAAAAAAGATATGAATGTATCATCAAATCGTTTGAAACAAGAAGCAGGTCAGCAAAATAAACGGACGGATAATCTAAGAGAAGAGGTGACAAACTTATAATGAAACGTCAGGCTTTACCATTATCAAACCACTTTAATTAGAAGCTTATAAAGGCTATTCATTTGCTACACAAAAACTCTAGCTTTTCAACACTCGTTTAATAATAAATTTATTTCTTAACGTTGCATAGAAAAGTATTGACGAAAATGATTTATACGAACATTGGAAGGAACAATAACATTGGCGCACACGCATGTTGACAAGCCTTTGCGGCACGGCGTCGAATTTTTTGCATATTTTTTTTAATCCAATTTGAGTGACGATAGACGTTAACGTAGATTTCATGATCATCACATGATGAAGCACCCTCCGAAAGCAGACCATGAATTTTACCTAATGGAAAACGTGCTTTTGATTGCCTCACTAAATGCAGGACTTGGAAGAATAAAAGTAAAATATTACCGTTACAAAACAAGGGTGCTCCGGAATCTCCTTTGCAAAGACCTTTAGCTGACTGAGGCGATTTTGCACACAGTGCATGCTTATTATTAGCGCCATACACAATATTGCAGATTGTGGTTGCTGTCAGACGCATATCCACAAATAAAATTCTATCCGGGCTTGGACCATCCTGGCAAGATTAAAAATGTTAAAAATTGTTTCATTTCGAGGATCAGTGTTGAATATGGAAAGACTAAAACATATAAAATTCCTTAAAAGTACGCGTACGTTTGTATTCAATGTAATGCTTGCTATAGAACGTGTGGAAAAGCATAGCCTAGTCAGAAAGTATTTTTCATCAAATAAACTTTTATAGAAAATAGGAGTAGAAAAACTTTTCCAATTATCATATTCGTTTCGTCATTTTCGTTCTGAAAATTTTTACTATCATCAATTTTTTGGAGATCGAAATTGAAAACATATATAATAATTAATGGCTCATCGAGAGAGATATGTGCAATACGCAATAGTCAGCATTATCTTCACGTATTCATAATTTCGCATATTTCATTTTAATTTAGACATTCAAGACCGTTTCTGTTGCGCTATAATCGCTATTCGACTTAATTTCTTGTCATCTATACCGAAATATCATAGGTGTATGGTGGCTAAAGCATTGTTTTCTGCAGCTATTATAAGGCTGGCGTGTGTGTGGGTGTACTGGATGTGCGATTAAGAGAAAACATTTATCGTTAAAATGAAAGAAGTACGCTTTTCTTCTATTGCCCACTTATTCCAATCGACTTGCTTACCCCAACTTCTCAATATTATCCTTCAGCTTTGCTAAATTATTATTATTATTATTATTACAAAATTTAGCCAGCGAATAAATTCTGAAACTTTGCCAGTTTGCATTAGTAATTCATTGCCTTCGTGAATATCCCCACAAGATTTATAGTGTGCAGAGAAAATGATTGGGAATGAGCCGATATTTGGGTGGCCATTCGAAGAGGGTTCAAAAGAATTCGAAAGCCCATCGCCTTAAGTTAAATTTTCCGCTTCTTTGATTTACAGAGAATACATCTTAAGAGCATACAATAGCTTTTTATAAATATTGCCGTTGTGTGCCACCGTTATCTGCAAAAAATCAAAGGTTGGAATTAGTTTTATATTTACCGGAAATACTTGACCCCATCCAGTTGCAACGCAATCCATATTAATTTTTGGAGGATTTAAAGGTATCAAATAATCAACGCGCTTTTTAATCGGACTATATAGAATTAAAAGAGCGATATCGTTGTCACCCCTCTCCCACTTGTTAGCATATTGTCGATGTGTTACAGCTTTTAAAACTTTTTTGTATAAAGTTTTATTCGTTCGCCGTAATCGCCTTTCGGCGTTGATTATGACACGCAATGAGCTTTTTGGAAGATCGATTGGAAGGTGATCTATTTCGTTGCAAATAGAAAAACAACAACGAAAATATCATGCATATGTTAGAAGTGTTAGACTCTATTATATATCTATCATACATTACCAACACAATGACCAGCTGTTATTACAGTTTGCACGTTCACTAATGCTCCGCAACAGAAATTGAGTGCACCAAAATACTTTGCTCGTCCCGTGGTTAGAACTAATAACGCCGTATAGGTACCCCATATCTCACCACCCTTTCTGTAACCACCAAAAACTTTGCGAGCAGGCTGTTTGGATTCTATTGTGTAATTATCAGGGAAGTTCGTATTCAAATAATCGGTTAAAGCAATATTTATCGCCATAAATGTTAACAAAATGTGAACAAATCCTTTCAAAAAATTTTCCATTCGTTAAAATTTTGATAATTAAAATAACAAGAGAAAATGCGTAAGAAAATTGAAGAGGAGGTGACTAAAAGCAAATTCCTGGTCAACGTAATAAATCATCTGTTGTTTATTTTCCAACTCGCAGAAAAAGAAGAAGATCCAATATCTGTAAATGATTGCCGTAAGTGAAAAATTGTAATTTTAAGAAATAACAAAACTACACCAAGTCATTAGCGGATCTGACATCTATTCAATTCACTTGTGTGCAAGAAAGTTTGAAGAACAGATAACCGGCGGACGAATGAGCAAAGAATCTTGTTTGAAACCAAACAGAATCTTACAGATCGAGAATGTATATGCATTCAAACTGGAGTAAGCGATTGTTAAATTTCTATCCCAGTAAGTGTTAGCTACGCCCAACATATAACCATCAGCCGAAGGATGAGTGCATTCATTTCGACAAAACGTTTGCAACGTCCATAAGGAAGCTTCAGAGACCCCAAAAAATATACGTATTATTGATCAGCATCAAATTCTGAATGGATTTAAGCATGTCCGTCTGTCCATATGACCGTCTGTGCGTTTGTATAATGTCTGTTGTAAATATACTCCTGGCCGCAAAAATGAATCTATCGACAGAAAAGGGGCCAAACTGGTCAAAGGACATGCCCACACCACTACGTAAAGTGAGTGTTTTTCAAAAGGAATTTGTTTTTCGACCATTACTCATAAACTGTAGCAGATAAATGTATTAGGTCGAATCATAAGTAACTTCCGATAGGTAAGTAGAATCTGTTGTTCGTATTTACCTAATAAAACTTATCGAAAAAACCGTGTTATTTTTACCATACAGATGAGGATTCAGTTAGTCTTCTGTCAAATGTTTTATGTGGTGCATGTTACATCCAACTGTTTTCTTAACCTCCGAAATGGAGAGTGAGCAAGTGACTATTCGACCACACACCATATAATTTTTTTCAATTTTTGGCAGGATCTCTGAGGTCACCCTTCTCTGAACAGATTGACAATTCTCCAGCAAATTGGAAAAATGCCAGCATGGTAGCACTTGATGAAAAGATTTAGCAATAGCCTGGCGAGTATTTTAATGCGCTTTTTTAGAACTGTGGCTAAAATTCCATGAAGTCCTGGAGCTTTGTAAATGTTGAGATTGACAAGAATCTTTGTAACAGTCCTCGTCCGATTGATTAATGTAGGCATCGAATAAGTGACTCTTTCAAGAGTTTGAAGCAAACATTTCGGCCAGCATATCAGCTTTATCAACTGGGTGGAATATCGCTTGGTCATTATTAAGAATAATTAGAGTCGAAACGGTAGCTTGGTTTCCAATTCATTTCACGAAAGACAAAGTGCTCTTCCCAATTTTTGGAGCAGCAGGAACTTTGGTACGTAGCCGCTTTTCATGTACAGCTATACCACGGCCAGGTACCTTGTTGTACATATTTCTAGAGTGTTTGTGTAGCAGATTGTATTGATCGTTTGGAATAAAACGCCACACTTGAAAGGTTTTCTGGCTAAATTCTTGCAGGATCTGACTGCTTGTTTGCAATTCTTATTGCACCCGCTTTTATCTTTGTGCTTAACCGAAGTATTTTTGAATGCAATGTATGTTCTTATTCTACGTTTTATTATGTTTTGTTTCTCCGCTGGGGCAATAATGTTGTTACATAGGAATTCAAAATGTGTGAAAAAATTATCGGGCTCCGCCAAATTTGCTTTATCGCTACATCACGTTTCGTGGTTGACATAAAACGTGGCGAAGATTGGCATACGAAAAGGAACCGGAAATGGTGCGGTGGTCCGTGTTACCGAGAGATACAATGATGTTAAATTCGTGTTTATGCGGATCGGAAGTAAGAAAAAGATCCAGTGTATTTTGCTGCAGCCCATCAAGGCCTGGAATGTGCGTTGGTTCATCGATAAATTGCGTTAAGTAATTCCCAAATGGCATAACCTCTTCGTATGAGTCTTGTATGAGTCGAATGGTGCAGCAAGTTTTTGTTGTTGACATTGAAAAAGCCAGCAATAACGACTTCGCTCTCGGTGTAATTTTGCACAGTGGAAAATATTGCGTTGGCTAAGGCGTTGAAATCATTAGATGAAAGCACCTTATCGGTGTTTGGATTTAAATATATAGAAACCCAAAGTGCTGCGTGCGTCTGGGTAGTGAATTTTACCCATAGCGAGGTAAATTCAGAATCCTGTGTGCAATTGTTGCTGACACTAGAATATTTCATCGTTACAAATGTGTGCCATCGTTACAAAGGCCTCTGTGTGATACGAAATGATGAATGATTTTGTACATAGGCACCCGGAAATCATATACATCACCATTTTCGTTTACATGAGTCTCACAAAGTGCGTATGTATGTGAATACCACGAGAAAATATTCCCGCAGTCCGCCTATATTGAAGGGATTGATTGTAAGTTGATAATTGAGAACGTGTTGGCAAACTGTTTTAGACTGAACGTGAAGCTGATCGTAAAGAAAACCACAGTTATTCGAAAATATCTTCATGGGGACAAAATTTATAGGCGAAATTTGTATATTTGCAATTTAATGCTAAGGTGCGGTAGAATAAATGAGAGACAATTTGCGACTAGTATTTCGTCGTTAACTGTCGACGTGTTAGTACACCGGTCGGGGCCACTCTTCCGTCGAAGTGAAGGGATAGAAAGAAAGAACGTTTATTTAAAAAAAGCTGCTCTAGGTTAACAGTACTAAAGGAAACTGTACCGCAAAGTTCAACGTGTATTGAACGTCACAGAAGAATAAGACATTTGCTTTACCGAGTTCTCAATGGCCTAAAGCCCAGACAATAATAACACGAATAAAAATAATAACAAAGCAATATTATTGCATTGTTTGTAACGTGTTCACTCTGCATTCTGTCAAATGTGGTTCATGTTAGCTTTCGTGGTGTATTGTTCCACGTTCTCTGCGTTGTTGTAGCAACATTTAACCCAATATGCTTTAAATGTTTTAAAAAAATAAATTTTGAAATTAATAAAAACTGAATGATTGAAAGCTGCTCCTCTTTCCTGAGACAATTTTTAAGCTAACATCGTCGGAATAAGTTATTTTGTTACGCAAATAGTGTATTTTGAAATGTTAGGTTGTTTATAGAAATGACAACTATCGACAATTTGTACACATGTATGCACCTAGTTCTCTATTTACAAGAATTTTTTTTGCACGAAATTTAATTTAATATAAGTTAAAGAGGAAAAAATTATTTTTTACATGAATTGTTTAGTTTTAAAATGATTCCCGAATTTTTTAAAATAATATTTCTGATCAACTTTTTTTATTTTGATGTTCTCATAAATTTTTTCGTTCTCACTCCTTACAAATACGGAATTTAGTTTGGTTTTTTCAAAGCCCAAGTTATCTTTCTTTATAATACATCTAAAAAATTAAGTTGTGTAGGCACGAAATAAATTCTTCAATGAACTCTAGCAAGAAATTTTTAATATTGTTCATAGTACTCTTCAGTTGCCTTTTAGCTCTTGAAACACTCCACTATTTTTCCCTTTTTGCCAGTAACTTTTTTTACACGAATTCTTTAAAAATCTATCTATCGTGTAAAAAAAGAATTAAGTGTATTTATTTGATTTTTCTTCATTGTAATAGTCTAACCTGAAACCTAGCGATTTGAGTGACAATTTTCATAGTATAACCTATAAAGAATAGACATTTACCTTTAATTAAGTTTCCAAGCCCTATTGGTGCAACATTAAATTTTTATTTATTTATATTACTAGTTTTCATCAGTCAAACTTGTATTAATTAAATTAGTTTCTCGAACGTGGGAACAGTGTAATGCGGTGTTCACTTGCGGTTAAGTAATAATACAATTTCTTACTAGCCAATCAATAATCCTTCACAGAAAAATGCTTCAATTTATTATTCTTTAAACAGACAAAAAAGCATTTATTAAAAAAGTTTTAAGAAATTGTTAAAAATATTTTTTTTACATAAGAATTAATGATTCTAGGATCTTCTTGTTAATAGATATTGAATCAGGGAGAAATTTTCTAACGTTTTTCACTGAAATCCAATCCTACTGGTTGCTTTTTAAATGAACTTCATGAAATCAAATAATCCTCGCAATGACCGACAATTTTCCTTGTAAAACTATTATACCATAAGTTCAAAAACGTTGCCACTCATGGATTCTTTTGAAACCAGTTTTAAGCGAAACGTATGCAATAAATGTACTCAACTACAATAAAATAAAAGTTGAATTAAGTAGGCTTTTAAAAATAAATTTTATGCTACTTTAATAAAATATAGAAAATATAGAAAGAATGGAAACAACAACATTCATCTATATCGCTAATCTTGCGGATAGTCAATCGTATGTCGTATAGAGCAGCTCGTGATGCACGACGTTCCTTCCACAAAGCGTTGCTTGACTATGAACTTCCTCGCACATTATTCTATATGATCCACTTTCCATCACTCGTTTTCAATTTCTTCAAGAATGGTTTGATCGCCTTCCGTTTCAAAAGCGACTCGCAAATGGAAACTCGGTTCATTAAATATTCTGCTCTTAACTCGTACGGCATTCCCAAATTGTCCAAAAGTCAGGATTCCAATCCTATTACGGCAAATCATACTTTAATAACGATTGGTATATGAATGTAACTGCAATGTACGCTCGTTCGGTAAACAACCGACTGAAGCCGACCGAGTATATATTTCCCAGGCTGAAGCCTCTCATTTCTCTTTGGCAATCAGGGTTAGACATATAAAGGAAAAATTGCTTTAAAGTGGTTTTCACTCACAAATATCCTAAATCCTATAATCATAAAGTTATATAATCTTCCTCGCTTTATTAAAGAACAGAATTTACCAACGATTTGTCGGCAATCGAAATTTACGAAGTAAAGAAGAAGTAATCGGCTGATAATCGAAGCGATCTTAATATGTAAAATAGAGGAGATTTGAGTCATTTAAAATGCATCCTTAAGAACATCTGAACCTATTCTTAGGGACATATGAACGGTTTTTAATATTTGATGGATCATAGATTAATAAAGTGTCATCTGGTGGTTTAGGAGAAGATATTCACAATGCGTGATGTGTGTACTTTATTTAGCATTTAATATATATATTTGCAAAAAAATGTCTATAAATAGTAATATCCGGTAACAGTTAAGAAAAAAAACGAAATATATTTGACACAGACGAATTACTTCAACCCTTTTCACAAAATGAAAAAAATTACTTCATATTCATAAGACGAAAACCACTTCATTTCACTCTCAACACAATGGTATGATGGAGCGCTTTCACAGGCAACTGAAAACCAATCTTAGCCAGAAAGAAATCGATAAAATGGAGTGAAAAATTGCCAATAGCTCTGTTAGACCTTCGTACAGTGTACAAATAAGACTTATTGCCTCACCGGCGAAAATACCTTGTGGAGAACACCTCCGGTTTCCGGGTGGAATGCCAGTCTCAAATGCAGACCACGTATCACCACGCGTTTACTCTACAATTAAAGGAAAACTTTAAGAACGTAAAATCGAACATAAACTACCATAGAGACCCGCTGTCTAATCGACTTGTAGCCAAAACATTAACAACTTGTGAACAATTTTTCATCCGTAGTCCAAGCAAACGTTCCTTACAATGTCTTTACGACGGTCCGTTCAAGATTATTGAAAAAAATTCCAAACTTTTTAAAATACAAATGAACAACGGCGTGCGAACGATACCTTAAGACAGATTGAAACTTGCAATCAGCAAAACGTCACACGAACATAACAATTTACGGACGACTCAGGACGCACGCAAACACAAAAAAAATCCAGTCAGATTTCATTTACACAACATCGATACTTCTGTTTTTCTAGGAGGGGGAGTGATGTACGGTGTTCTAAATGTCTAAGTTTACAAAACTTCTGATTTTGTAAGTTAGCTAATAAGCCAGGATTGCTTTTTATTTATTGTCAAAATTTGATTTTTATAAAAGATCATTTTTTGTATTGATTGAGAAAAGTAAATCTTAACTGATTCAAAAATTAAAATACATAGCAAACTAAACCAGGAATTAGTGGATTTAAAACAAAGAAATGAAGAATTAGTGGTAATTCTAACTACTACAACTTACTTTAGTATTTTTCCCTAATATTTTGTTCTCTAGATTGAACTTGATGTCGAATGGCAAACACGGCAGGAATTGCGTCGCACCCTTACCGATGACCGTTTCTGTCAGGCTCGTTCTCTCCAGCACAGCCCTAGCTTTTATACAAACAAATTGTGACATGGAATAATAATAGCTTCCTATGGCATTTATTTATTTAAAAAATTTTATTACGATTATTTTGAAACACAAAAATTAAAATTGGAAATACAGAAATATAATTCTCCATTCTAAACATTAACAAAATATGTGAAAATTAATTTAATTTCTCGACTATATTCATGCAATGGACAACACTTTTTATTCAAAGCAAGAAAAAGGAACGACTTGACTTTTGGCTTTACGTTTAACATTGTCAATACGAATTAACAGGCTTGCCTTTGCCCTTGTGATATATTTCCAACATATTCTTATAGGCATCATACATGCAAGGGCAATGTGTAAAAGAAGGGACCTGATCATCTAAACGGCAAGTTCCATTCGATGCGTCTGCGAAGTGGAAGAAAAAATTTTCAAATTTTATCGATCATTTTAGATTTGGATAGATATATTGAAATAGTGCTGTTTTTTTGAATATAGCTCAACTTTTACACCGACATCAAAAAGCTATATTGATTTACGAGATCTTCATACTTAAATTTCAACTACATCTTAAACAAACAAAAACACATCAGTTTATGATTTACTTACGAAAGTCAGCATCTTCGCAAAAGTTTAAAGGTTCTCGGACCGCTGATTCAGACATAGTCGTTCTGAAAACTCGCCTGATATGTCGGCCATTTTGATCTTTATATACGATAGATTCAGCGTTCCGGTCAGCTTGTTGAACTAAAAATTGCAGTTTACTTTAATGTACACATCACCAAGAAATATGTTTTCTTCTTACGTATCTTCTGTTGATCTTTCACAGAGGCGTCTTCGTAGGATATCCCTACCTGTACTTTTTTCTGCGGGCCGTCATTGGTTACAGTGATACATTGCTCAGCTTGAAAGCAATTTGAATTACGTGATAAACCACAATCGTCGTAACTTGTGACGCCCGATTTGCACTCATCAGGCGTAGGGCATTTCAATATTCCACGAAGGGGTGTAGCTTCCGAAAACATTTTCTCAGTTGCTGAATGCGAACAAGGGGTGCCATGACGTGAGGCGGAATACGGACATTGCAATAAATTAGATAAACGACTTCGTACGTTTGTTACACATTGCGATGTACGCGGATGCT